TGAGGAAGCTGTGGCTCATTCACCTTTTTCCATGTGACTCCCTGGTTAGCAAGTATAGGGTAAGTAAAATACTGATTACAGGTTGTTACAGGCTAAATTATGTCTCACCAAAATTCCTATGTTGAAGCCTTATCCCCAGTACTTCCAAATATAATTTGCTTGGTGATAGGGTCTTCAAAAGAATCAAAATAAAATGAAACCATTAAGGTGGGTCCTAATCCAGTATGTCTGATGCCCTCATAAAAAGAAATTATGATATGGACATACACGGAGGAAAGATCACAGACATAGGTAGAAGAAGACGGCTATCTACAAGCAAATAAGGGAGGCCTCAGAAGAAACAACCTTGATGACACATTCTTCTGCACTTCTAGGCTCTGACACTGTGAGAAGATACATTTCTGTTGTTTAACAGTGTGTTACAGCACTTGTCATGGAAACTCTAGCAAACCAATAAAGAGGTCAACCTATAAAGGAATCACTCACATTCAGGACCGGACAAAATGTTTTGAATTCCCTCTAAGGAGATGTAAAACTCCCTGTCTTGCGTTTAGGAATAGGTTAAAAAGCAGTTGGCAGAAATAATGGAGAATGACCTCAAGTAAGCCAGGCACCGTGGCTCACATCTGTAATCCCAGCACTTTGGGAGGCTGAGGTGGGAGAATTGCTTGAGGCCAGGAGTTTGAATTCAGCATAGAAAACATATCAAGACCCTGTTCTCTACAAAATACAAAATTAAAAAAATATACACCTGGGTGTGGTGGTGCATACCTGAATTTCAATTTACTTGGGATGCTGAGGTGGGAGGATTGCTTAAGCTCAGGAGTTCGAGGCCACAGAAGCTGTAATCGCACTACTGCACTCCAACATCCTGGATGACAGAACAAGACTTGGTCTCAAAAAAAAAAATGACCTCAAGTAACAGTTGACTATTCTGAAGTCAAACTTGAGGTTCCGAAATTCAGTGAATGTGTTTATCTTTAAATTGATTTCACTACCTCATTTCACTGAATACATTCAATAGTTAACCCTAGTCGAGTCATATATTTTCGGTATGATATTGAACAAGTCTTCTAAACTCTGCCAGTGGACTTTAAAATGCAAATTGTCATGTGTCAATCAGACGCTGTCATTCCCTTTCTTAAAAACATAAATGATAGTCCATCCCACTTAGAATAAAATTCAAATCCTCCCATTCTCCTATCAGATCTCATGCTGGGCCTTATTTCCTGGAACCCAGAAGCTCCCATTTCTACTTTCTGTCAGCGATTTCCCTAACACAAGATCCTGCTCTCCCCTCAGGCCTTTTCACATGCTCTTTCCTTTTACAGTGAGACTCTTGCTCAGACATCCATGAGTTTCATTGCTCATTGCACTGAAAGTATCCAAGGCACCATATTTTCTAAAAGATTGTCCCATCCAGTCACTCATTGCCTTCCTATGCTTAATTATCTCTAACATTTCTTACCCTGATATCAATCAAAGATTCAGTTTTTTATTTCAATAGCTTTTGAGGTGTAAGTGCTTCTTGGTTACATGGATGAATTGCATATCAGTGAAGTCATATTTTAGTGCTCCCGTCACCTGAGTGGTATGCATTGTACCCAGTATGTTGTTTTTTTATCCCTCAATCCCCCCCTATAGCTCCAAGGTCCATTATACCACTCTGCACACCTTTGCGTACCCATAGCTTAGCTCCCACTTACAAGTGAGATCTTATGGTATATGGTTTTCTATCCATGAATTTCTTCTCTTAGAATAATGGTGTTCAGCTCTATCCAAGTTACTGCAAAATACATTATTTCATTCTTTTTATGGCTGAATAGTATTCCATACTGTGTTTATGCACATTTTTAAGCCACTTATTGGTCCATGGGCACTTAGGGTGGTTCCATATCTTTGCAATTATGAATTGTGCTGCAATAAATAAAGTGTGCAGGTGTCTTCTGGATACAATGACTTCTGCTTTGGGTAGATACCCAGTCGTGGGAATACTGGATCAAATGGTAGATGTACTTTTAGTTATTTTAGGAATCTCCATACTGCTTTCCATAGAGTTTGTACTAATTTATATTCCTACCAGAAGTACCTAAGCACTTCATTTTCACTACATCCATGCCAATGTCTACTGTTTTTTGACTTTTCAATAATGGTCATTTATTTTGCAGGGGTAAAGTGGCATCTCTTTGTGGTTTTATTGCATCTCACTGTTAGTAATGTTGAGCTTTTTTTCATATTTTTAGCCATATGCATAATTTGAGAAATGTCTATGCTTTTTGCCCACTTTTGATGAAATTATTTGTGCTTTTCTTACAGATTTGAGTTCCTTGTAGATCCTGGATATTAGTACTTTGTTGAATGAATAGTTTGCAAATATTTTCTCCTAATCTGTGGGTTGTCTGTTTACAATGATAATTTATATATTTACTTATTTATTGCTGTACTGATGCTTTTTAGCTTACTTAGGTTCCATTTATTAGTTTTGGATATGTGTTGCCTGGCTTTCCCACCAGGCACTGGCTCAGGGTGAGCTGAGGCCAGGGTCTAGCCACTGCTGCATCCCCATAAGTCACAAGGCACCTGGCACAGGCATTCAGCTCACATTTGCTCAAGAAATAGTAACTATGGATATTAGTTATACATTCTTCATAGAGGAGTATTATTTCTGAGGCTACTTGTGTTTAGAATTATGTGTGCAAAGTTTTTCATTAAAAAATTGATGTTTTTAGCTATTATATTATGGAAGCAGCAGATCAGTAAAGAAAATTCATGACAGGCAGGCATAGCATAGATTATATACTGCCACCACTACAAGGACAAACTTGTAAGCCAAAACCAGCCAGTTTCCGTCACCTGCACTCAGACAAATGTGGAATAAAGAGACAGTGAGCTTAAGGGGAGACAAACATTACTTAGTGATAGCTTGAATAAAAATAAGTGAAATGTGATCCTCTCCAACCCTGGCATTTTCAATATTTGAGCTGAAAAACAGGATTAAAGTTGAGAGGATAAATCTTTTTTCAAAAACGAGTTTCGCCAATTGAAGTGAATAGAGTACTTTGCTTGAAGAATCGCAAATTGCAGAAGAAAGTGACTTACCCATTTTACTTTCAACAAAAATGCCAGTTAAAAAATAAAAACAAATGATTTTTTAATAACCCCCAACACAGATTCCCTCTACTGGCATAAATAATTAGGAACTGACTATTGGGCTCAAATACCAATTTAAATCAAGCCAGCAATAATATTAAGTGCCAAACACATAACCTTCTTACATAACCTGCATTTACTATTTTTGTCTCTGAATTTCAAGTCAAGAAAATGTGTATCTTCATAATGCTGAAGCACTACAATGTGAATATCATACCTTGATTTCAGGATGTATAATTACGATGGCAGTCCCCTTAGAAGGTTACCTAACCTCCTCCTCCTCCTCTTAGCAAGTCCTCCTCTATTTTATATCTTTAGTTTTTTGTCTCCTAAACCCTTTGGGCTGTTTAATCTTCTTTTTCTTTTTTCCACAGAATGTAGAATAAGTAATAATAGCCATATTACTGGATGAATAGGGAAGATATTTTCTAGGTTTTTAACTGTAAATGAGACAATCTCACACATTCTTATTTACCACAGCTATAAAGTAAAAGAAATAAATGTTCTTCAGTTTAAACATAAAGAATTCTGGCAGGGCCGGTGGCACATGCCTGTAATCCCAGCACTTTGGGAGGCTAAAGTGGGCGGATCACTTGAGGTCAGAAGTTCAACACCAGCCTGGTCAACATAGTAAAACCCCGTCTCTACTAAAAATGCAAAAATTAGCAAGGTGGTGCATGCCTGTAGTCCCAGCTACTCCAGGAGGCTGAAGCAGGAGACTCGCTTGAACCCAGAGGTGGAGGTTGCAGGGAGCTGAGATCACACCACCGCACTCCAGCTTGGGCAACAGAGTGAGACTTTGTCTCAAAAAACAAAACAAACAAAACAAAAAACAAAGAATTCTGCCAGCTACCATGAACAAATGATCAGAGCGGATCTTTCAAATATATATTTTTTGGTTTCTGCTTTTATAGGAAGTATTGATATGCAAATTTTCTACTGGATAAGTTTACAAAAGGCAGTCCTGAGATTCAATGCCTAAATGTGATTAAAGCCACATTTAAAATTGAAATCTGCAACAGTGAGAGCCTATGGGGAAAAAATAGTAGCCAGAGGATCTTATCTGAAAATCAGAGTTGTGCTCTTCAGGACCCACAGAAATGAAACAATGGGAATATGTTTTCTTTTATATAGGAGCTTGTACGCTATGTAAATTAAAGCCATATTAAAATGTATGAATGGAGTTAGAGAACCAAAGATAGAGAAAAATGAAATTGATGGGCAAATAATGGAATGTTATATTTTTAAAACAAGCTTGACAACACTAGACATGTAAAATAGTAACAACATACATGAAAACTGCTCCCTACCTAAAGAAAAAGTCAGTTTCTTTTATGAATTGCAAAAGTAAGCAAAAGCAAATATTGGCACTGACAATATCATTTCAATGATGTGCTCTAACAAAAAAATTGCATTTAGTAATAAAAATGAAATCCTACAAAAGAATAATAACATTGATTTGAAGGAGGAAACTGCTTTAGGAAACTGCATTTATTTTTTCAACAAATTAGCTTTTAGAAAATAGGGAAACTGGTTGTATTTACCACAGATTCATTTATGCCTTCAACAAATATCTCTTGCCCCTTCAATATGTGAAAAAAGAGATCAATTCACAAGCACTTATTATTGCTATTTTAATTTAGGTTTGTTTGGAGTTTTTTCTAAATGGTAGCAATACACTTTTTTCAGATATTTAGTAGTTTCATCAACTCTATGAAACCAGAACTGTGTATGGGAGGAGAAATTTTTATCTACCCTCTCAGGTTCTATGGCTCGTGCTAAGAATAAAACTGATATAAGACTACAGGAGAAAAGCATACAAATGTATTTCTTTTTTTATGTATACACAGGAATCTTCAGAAGGAAAAGGAAGATTCAAAGAAGCTATTAGACCCCAAAGCTTATGAAGGCAGACCTCAGAGATATTGCAGGTTTGGTTCCAGACCATGGCAATAAAGCAAATATTGCAATAAAGCCAGTCACATACATTTTTTGGTTTCTCAGTGCACAGAAAAGTCTTGTTCGAACTACTCCATAGTCTATTAAGTGTGCAATAGCATGTTTAAAAAATTGTTCATACCTAATTAAAAATACTTTATTGTTAAAAAATGCTAACAATGATCCAAGCCTTCAGAGGGTTGTAATCTTTTTGCTGGTGGATGGTCTTGCGTTGATGTTGAGGGCTGCTGACAGATCAGGGTGGTGATTGCTGAAAGTTGGGTGGCAGTGGCAATTCCTTAAGGATATTAGTGAAGTTTGCTGCATCTATTGACTTTTCCTTTCACAAAAATTTCTCTGTAGCATTCCATGCCATTTGGTACCATTTTACCCACAGTAGAACTTCTTTCAAAACTGAAGTCAATCCTCTCAAACCCTGCTGTTACTTCATCAACTAAGTTTATGTAATATTCCAAATCTTTTGTTGTCATTTCAACAATATTCACAGTATCTTCACCAGGAGTAGATTCCTTCTCAAGAAACCACTTTCTTTGCTCATTCAAAAAGTAGTTCCTCATCCAATGGAGTTCTATCATGAGATTGCAGAAATTTTATCAGATTTAAGCTCCACTTCTAATTCTAGTTCTCTTGCTATTTCTACCATATCTGCAGTTATTTTCTCTACTACAATCTTGAATTCCTCAGTCATCTATAATAGCTGAAATAAACTTCTTCTAAATTTTGTTAATTTTTAATATTTTGATTTCCTCCCATGAATCACAAATGTTCTTAATAACATCTAGAATGATTGTTGGAATTCACTTGAGATGGTTGGCAAAATAATAAGGAAAATATTTAGGGAAAGTTATAGATTATAGTCTCAAACCTTTTGGAAGGCCAGAAGGTTGTATTAAGGTATGCTGAAGGCAGCGGCCTCATTAACATTAGCTTATACTTATACCAATAATTACCAAAGAGAGAGAGAAGATCAAAGTCCTTCCCAGGTTAAGTCTGTTTACCCCACATCCCTTTGTCTACACTCCATTTACTCATGTAAATTTTGTGCTGGGTGGTCCTCTCAGGGGAAGATGAAAAGTGAATTACCTGTTAATAGTGTTTACTCTGGGCCCCAGAACCTAAAACTTTTATCAGTCATAAAACCATTCTCTTAACCATGTTAATTATCCACAAGTGTGTTAACTTAGAACCTCTATTGTAAAAATCTACAGAATAAAAGTGTGGATGAACAGAGGGTCGTGGTTGATTGGTTGAAATTCACCCTCATCCCTAGCCCACTTTTATCACTATAAAGGTGTGAAAGTGCATTCATTTATCCATGAGTCAAGGTTTGCAGGTTAGACTTCCACAGGTGGTGGCTGTCTCAAATGGTGAATCCTTTCTAGAAGGTTTTCAACTTATTTTGCCCAAATCTATCAGAGGAATCGCTATCTATGGCAGCTTTAGCCTTATAAAATGTATTTCTTATATAATAAAAATTAAAAGTCAGAATTACTCTTTGATCTATGGATGTTGTATTAGAAAGCATGAAAACAACACTAATGTCTTTGTACATCTCCATCGAAGCTCTTGGGTGGCTGGATGCCTGGTTAATGAACAGTAATATTTTGAAAGCAGTATTTTTTTCTGAATAGTGGTTCTCAGTAGTGGGTTTAAAATATTTAGTAAACCATGTAATAGATAGATGTGCTGTCATAAAGGTTTTGTTCTTCCATTTACAGAGTACAGGCAAAGCAGATTTACCATCATTCTTAAGGGTCCTAGAATTACTGGAATTGTAAACAAGCGTTGGCTTCAACTTAGTGCCACTAGTTGATTTAGCCTAATAAGAAAGTCATTCTGTCACTCGAAGCCAGGCACTGACTTCTCGAGCTATGGAAGTCCTAGATGACATCTTTTTTCAGTAGAAGGCTGTTTTAATTACATTGAAAATCTACTGTTTACTATAGTGGCTTTCATCAATGGCTTTAGCTAGATCTTTTGGATAACATGCTACAAGTTAATTTTTACATCGGCATTTACTACATCACCTTGCACTTCTGTATTATGGATCTGGCTTATTTTCTTAAACTTTGTGAGCTAAGCTGTGTTACCTTCAGGCTTTTCTTTTGTAGCTTCATTATATGTCAGCTTTCACAGAATTGAAGAGAGTTAGGACTTTTCCCTGGTTTAAGCTTTGTCTTAAGGGAATGTTGTGGCTGATTTGAGCTTCTATCCAGACTGCTAAAACGCTGTATCAGCAACAAGGCTATTTCACTTTCTTCTTATTCTTGTGTTCACTGAAGTTGCACTTTCCATTTTTTTTAATTTTTAATTTGCCTTCACAGATTGGCTAACTGGCACAAGAGATCTAGCTTTCAGCCTGTATCAGCTTTCAACATTCCTTCCTCATTAATCTTAATCATTTCTAGCTTTTGATTTAAAGTGAGAGATGTACAAATCCTCCTTTCACTTGAACACTTAGAAAGCCACTGTAGGATTAATTATCGACCCAATTTCAATATTGTTTTTTCTCAAGGAATAGAGGGACCTGAGGAAAGGGAGAGAGGTTGAAGACCAGCCAATCCATGGAGCAATCAGAACATACCCAACATTTACTGATAATGTTTCTTGTCTTATATGAGCCCGATTTGTGGGCTCTAAAACAATTACATTGGTAACATCAAAGAGCATTGATCACACATATCCATAACCAACATAATAATAATGAAAGTTTGAAATATTTCAATAATTACCAAAAGGTGATACAGGGACATGAAGTGAGCACATGCTATTGGAAAATAGTTCCATAGACTTGCTTGACACAGGGTGGCTGAAAATCTTCAATTTGAAAATCTTCAATTTATAAAAATCTTGAATATGTAATCTTTAATTTACATAGATATGGTGATGATTTATGTCTATATAAATCATAGATACTGTGTTTGTAAAACAAAACAAAACACAATATCTATGCAGTGCAATAAAAAAAGCACAATAACACAAAGTTTGCCTTTATGTGATATAGCTGGCCTAGAGTTAGAAGCTGTACAATGCCATTTTATAAAGAGACAAAACTGTTTCCATTCTCCTCACAATGACTGCTAACCTCGGCCTCTGTAAAGCTGCTAAGTTTACTTTGCAAAATGCAAATTGAGCTAAAGCTGCATACCTTCTTTTATCTGTAACTGCCAGAATTGCTGGCCTTTGTTCACCAGAGTAAGCACCCCCAGATAATTCCATCCTGGCACCAGGTAAATAAAAATCTATGGATCCCACTCCTACCCAGATGATGTATAAACGAATGCTAATCTTAGCATCTGTGAACCCCTTAAATGACAATCAGAATGTCAAATAGTCCCCTGGCCCTTGAAATGTCCAGAACCCCCTCACCCTCATCTCCGCCCAGAAGGTGATTTGAATCCACTGGCCCTCTGAATGTCTGAAGCCCCTCACCCCATCCTCTCCCCTCACCCCCAAGGTGATTTTATGGGTATAAAAAGTCTTGTCACCCTCTTTTACAGGGCCACGGGTTGGAGAGACGTGAGTCCTCCATGGTCACTGGCAATAAACCCTGCAATTTGGCATACTTTTGTCTTGGTGTTGACTTTCTGTGCTCGGTCCGATATAACATTTATACCTTTTTAACACAAAGAAGCATAAATTGTGCAGATGTGACAAGACAAAAGGGCTTGGGTTAAGAGTAGTACAGTGACTAGAAAATGTATGGGTAAAACTAACAAAAGATAAGTGTGATTTTTAGTAGGTTTGTTTGTACAGGTTCATTTCACCATGAATCCTGGTCTCCTGAGATAAAAACGTTATTTTCATCCTGGTACAGAAACAGCATCTTTCTGATGAGGAATGTTATGACCTGCTTTTAGGTAGACAGATGATGTAAGAGTTCCTTATCTGCATCTGCTACTTTACAAGAGCCTTCAGCTCAAAATAACCAGTAGGCCAAAGAGGCATATTTTGTGGGGACGTGTTTTAAACCCTTTCATAAGTTTATTGTTCTTATTTATGACTCCACAACTCATCTATTCTAAGAAACCTGGAGTTCTAGTTCATCATATTCTATTCTTAATTAATAACTTTAAAAGTCTGGTTAATTCTGTATTTGTAATGTGACTTGTAAGTCATCATTATTTGTCATCCTTTTTGTCAGGAGTTTCATTCACACTTAGAACAGGGTAGTGATATCAACTGGGGTACACTTGTTGTATTTAATGTGTAAAATGAGTACTAAGAATGTTTCCCAGGTACAATTCATGATCAATTCTGGGTACAATTCATGGGAGAAGTGAGAAGAAAGCAGGTTGACCAGAAGAGTTTTGTTACAATGAACGAATATAATTGCTTCATCTCAGATAGAGTATAAGATTTCCGATAGGAAATAGTAATTAGTAGACACTAAAGGTGCTTATAACCTTAAAATCCCAAGATTCTATGAATAGTCAGATAGTAATTAATGAGTTTTATTTTATCTTAGATCATTCAACCAAGAGTCTGTAGTTCAACCTATAGCCCTGAATTTACCATTTATTTGCCTGAATTATTTTACTGACCTTGAATATCATAAACTACAGATTTTAAGGAATAAAGGGGAGTACATGGTAATAAAAATTAGTGGTTGGAAAGCCATAAGAAACAAAAGCCAACTTTCTCAATAAGCTCTGCCTTGACCCAGCTGGAGGTTTTAATGAGCTATGTTTAATTTTTGGTCATTTATGTCTGGTTATATAGTTTGGGAATTGTTTCATGCTTCTTTTTTGTCTTTCCATTAAAAATCTGAATAATAACTCAGATTCAAGACATTGCTTTCATTTGAAACGAAGAATGAAAATGAGAATTATCTTGGCAAGCTGGAAAAGTTTACAGGCACACAGCAAAAACAATTGCTTTCTTTTGCTGCATTTTTCAAATGACACATTGTTGGATTCAAAACTATAAATCAGTCTATTTCTTTCCATATCTGTAGAGGACTCCAGTGTTATTTTTTTAAATGTTTTTGTTACATTCATTTAGGAGGAAGAGAAAATCGTCAGCCCAAATCTACCACCACTCATAATATGGATTCAGCACAACACAACGGTCGTTTCTCCACCGTGCCCATCCTCCTCTCTTGCTCTCCTTCCCTTACACT